AGCCTTCATGACTACTGTAAGATTTGCAATGAGCGAGTGATTATCGATCCGCGACAAGAGCTGTCGCCACGCATCGGCCACGCGCGCGGCAATCGATATTGGCAGTTCGCCGCGTTGGGTCAGGGCTGGACTGAGTTGTACTTGCATCTGTCCTGCTTCGCTCTCGGTCATGTGAGGACATCAGATGTGAGGATATAGATAGGAGCCGAGATGTTACCAACACGTCCCTTCATAAATAAAGCTAATAACGTAAAAAAGGGCTTTCTAGGTGTCCACTAATGTGGCACAGGTAGGTAACCGACAAGTATCAGCAGTCAGTCGACAATAGAGAAGACCAAAGCTGATTCAGGCAAGTCAGGCAAGCCAGCAGAGCTCTAAAACACTCTACAGCTGTGCGCAGCAAGAACACCGAGCGCCAATCGAACATGCAGACTATGAACGTTGTTTGACACGAATGATTCGGTTGTGAATGAAAAATGAACGTACTGGCATCCACGGTCCAGTCTGCCAAAAGGCACAAACTTTGATGCGACATGGCCGCTTGTCTTCCGCTTTTTCCAGGTCTCGACAGTACTCATCTGGTAAATCTCGTTGATGATTTCGACATTTAACCTGGAACTCAAAGTGCATTAACGGAAGAATTGGTTGTGACTTTAGAACAGGCGCTTTAGATTTAGATACAATTTTGGACATGACGGTGCTGATCTAATGTCGCGTACGGAACTACATATGAACATAACAGCTACTATTCTACATATAGAGACACCATTTTGAGTGTCTGAATGTAGCAAAGGTACGCCTTTTCGGGGGCCTATTCCACTGCAGGGAGGCTGATTTAGTCATTTTTGGTAAAAAAATGTCAAGATTTGTTCGAAAAGCCACCACCCATAGTGAGCGCATCGCGGAACCAGCATCCACTAGCCAAGCGGCGCTGCCACAACCGACAGCGAAGCGCTACANAGGGTAAGATACGGTAATTGTCGCAAGACCATCGCCCCCTGCAGCGGGAATTCGTATAGAAATACCGCCATCCTTCACCTGCTGTACCGGCTGCTTTAGATCAAGTGAATGATCATCCCTCAAAATTGTAGTTTATGGTCAGACCAATAGGCGAGCCCATTCGTGGAGTACATGGGTCTTTTCTTTCATAACATTACCTTCGAGTTTCGAAAGCAAATGTTTTATCCAAACTAACCAGTCTTCGTTGTGTTCCATTTCCGCACGTCGTTGAGCATTCTGACCACGGTCCTGTAGCCCATCTGATCGGAGGGACATCGGCTGGCTGAGTTAGAAGGTCCGAAACTCGAGTCTCACATGGATCTCGCTCACAAGTTCTTCTTTCACGTGGTCGAGAAGCCTTAACAATAATTCTTCAAGAATACGGAAAGACGACTCAGATTTTTTTGCGGTACCTTATCGCACAAAAAGTCCTTGACCGGTTCCTTTTTCGGACCTGAAGCACAATGAGCACGACGAGTTTGTGTACCATTACCGCAGGTCACAGAACATGGTCCCCATGCGGATACTTCCCATGAGGTACATGGAACCAGACTGAAAGTTCAAGCGCTATAATATTGTGCTACCCATAGAGCTTGACTAGGGCTCACTTGCAGGGCTGCTGTGTTGCCGGAGGGCTGGCATCACCGCAGAAGGAGTGATCGACGACTTGCTCGCGATAGACACATTCAGCACCACGACGTCTAACTCCCGATCCGCAGGTCACAGAGCACTAAAACTTTTCGGTGCATGCATGAATCACTGATTTTGCGTCGTGCATATAATCAATATTCATTTTTTGCACATGCGCACGTTGACAGGAGTATGAAATCAGATCAGATAAAAGTTCCAACACCAACCGCACTCCAATCGTTGGTCCTCCAGAATGGACACGGTCCTAGGTTGCACTGCCGATGGGAGGCTGGTTGTTCCTTATCCCCAGCGAGGCACAGCTCCGCTCTGACGTCTTCGCCTCGAGAATCCACGCAAGAGACACGTCGAGTGGACCAGCCATCTTGGCATGAAACCTGAATTGGACAGATCAAACATCATCAACTGTTCAGCTGCAGCACTTTGAAAACCTACACTGCACTGNGTCCATTCACCGACTTTCCACGAGGGACAAGCTGGACGAGAGCACGGTTTCTGCACGATACGCTCACGATAGTTACACCTGGCTGAAAGTACAACAATTAATAGGGATCTTCCTGGAAGCTGTTCCACTCCTACCAGAATCCAGAGGTCTTCCATCCCGATCGACACAGATCGCTTCTCTGGTCTGGATTCCGTCACCGCAAGTCACCGAACATGTCGACCACTGACCGAACGACCATGCCGTGCACATTTGCTCGTTGCATGATTCTCGGTCGTGCTAAAGTTTGAAATTTAATCTCGAGTCACTGATAGCTCAATGGCATTGACCACACCGAGGCACTAAAGGCAAGAAGTAATCAGTGGAAGAGTTCTAGTAAGGTTTAGAAACCTTCAAGCAATACCTTAGGTCCACAGTGCGAGTAGTGTACTTCTTTGTCAGCTGCATCCAAACATTGAGCGTGGCGCATTCGTACACCACCATCGCATGAACGAGAGCACTGAAATAACAACAAATTACTATCGAAATATCCCCATTGTTGCCTTATCAGGTGAACCACCCTCATACAATAAGCTCGTTTGAGCATCCCTTGGGAGTCATGGAAGTCACATTAGCTACGGATGTAGGGCAGGTAAGGGAGGGGAAAAGGGGGAGCAGAGAGGAAACGGGAAAGAAGTTTTCAATTCATAATTTGACTCCCTTCAAAACTTCGATGTAGTAGGTGTCAAAGATAGTCCTAGCCAGGGTGGATCTAATTGTATTGGATTCATGTTTGGAGACGAAAAGTTAGCCTGAATCTTTGTGATCTGATCAGCACTTCCCCTCAGAAATTTGCAGTCCCTTCATGATAGCAAAAATTAAGTCAGAGACGAAAAATCACCAAAATGGTGATGTTATATCAGGTAGATTATGGTAATTAGAAGGGAAGGAACGCCCAGGGACAAAAAGTGAAATCTNTATTGCATAAAATAAGTTACTAACTTACTTACTAATTAACTAAATTACTAATTTAACTTATTTACTTAAGAATGAACAAACCTCGGACCAATGTCCATATACCCATCTCGGGCATGGGAAACGATTGCATTCCTTTTCGGCGACTTCCTTAGCCTCTCCCATACAGAGATGATCTGGTACGACACGGTTATGATCATCTATGCAGACCACAGTTCGACGGGATACGCCAGTAGAACCACATGATTGTGAGCACTGAAATCGCTCATACTCTTTTGCTGGATTAACAAATTTATTCTTCAGAGGGTTCAGGTCAGGTTCAACTTACCGTCGTCCACTCGCTGTAGCTCCATCGCCGTCCTGAACAGTCTATGAAACAGGTGACCCTTTCTGATGGACGGCTGTAATTCAGAACTTCAGTGGATGGAACAATCCCAGAACTATTGCAGTCGATAAATTACAAGTTACTCTAACCTAGATCGATCACAGTCTTCATCTCGAGTGATTGTTTGACGACCGCCTTCGATTTTCGTGCAATAGACACGTTGCTTCTTTTCACCCGATCCACATTGTGCGGAACAATGCGAAACATCTTCGGTGATCCATCTGAATGGCAAGGAAATCGATTATCGATCGGTTAGTAACGGTCAATAAACTGAACATTGGCGTACTTTGTGAAACAGTCGATATTGCACATTCGAGTGTTGGTCTGAGGCCGTCGAGCTGTACACATGCTCTCGTGTGTTGGACGATTTGTCGTCAAATCGACACATAGAACTTCCTGAGTCTGGGTACCTACAAAGGGAAGCTTATTTCCATGAGTTGCAGGGCCACTGTGTTGCTGTCAAAATGAGATAAATATTCACTTAAATCTATTTAAATCTGGAACGCCAACTTTCCTAATTGGAAGGCACCAAGTTCAAGCACTGCACCATTGGGGTCAGCAGAATTCTTTTCAGCTTCTCAAGTAGTCATGAAGGGATACTACTTTCAATAGGCTCCCAATAAACACCCTTCGCTCAAGAAATCTGAAACACAAGGTACTGCCCACTCAAAATTGACCGAGGGATTAGAAAGAGGGATTTAGCAGTGTTCCCGTAAGCCTCCTTCTGTTATTGATGGCGATTCGGTTACGGCCCAGAACTTCGCTTACCACTCGCTATCTATGGGTCGACTGCTACCACTGCTACCAAAAATGAGGCCCATCTCTCATGCTGTCGCCTACATGCTGTACATGGGATTTGCTCAGAAAGACAAGAGTGTGTTCAGAAATATTGACGGACCCCGAAAGTATTTCTACATGCTCTGACTAGTTTAAGCAAAAAAGAGTGCATGGCGCAGCTCCAGAGGGCTGACCAGAATTAAGACTGATACCCATTCACACGATCGGAAGAACAGCTCCGAAACAGTCCGTTCTTACCTTGACATACTCTATCACAGGTACTCCACTGTTCCCCGGCTCTCCACTGGTAATTGTTCATTAATGGATTTCTAGCTGACGGACTCTGAAATGAACTTCTCCCTGATCACGACAAACTTCTCAAGAAAAAAGATCGAGAATGCTTCTTTTTCAAAGTACCTCAACGGCAGTCATGTACTCATAGCTGATGTCTGGTGGAAGCAGGTTTCCCACAGAAAGTACATGAACGTAGATGTCAATTCTGCAATGTAGCGGTCCATAAATCTTCATAGTAAATGTAAACATGGCTCCAGAAATTGGATATCTCGATATATTATCGATATATTGTATATTCGATTGGAAGTCTTACCTGATGGGGCCGGTACCATTGATTCTTTCGACGACGTTGTCACTTCCAGAATATTCGAGAATGACGTCTTGGATTGGAATTTGTTGACGGAATACGCTTACTTGGTAGTGACCATTCAACAGAAACTCGCCATTTGCAGCACGAAGTGCTGAAAAAGGCTTACTAAGAATGTAGAAGTTCTCAGAAGGTGAGTTTCCTGTTGCAATGGAACCTGACGGTCGGTTCGGCTAGTGTAAGTTTGCCATATTAGCTGATAGTACCATTGGATGAGGACAATCTGTATTACAGGAAACTCCCCTCTCCATTTCTAAGGGGTCTAGGAATCAACGAAGTTTCCTATAAGCAAAACGGAGTGCACCAGTAGTGTTGCTCTCACTGATCAGTACTAATTTATTCTATTCGGTTTTACCTGATTTTTACCTTTCACACATTTTTTCTTATAATTTCACTCTCTCAGTGGGAAAGTCAGGTCGAACATTAAGGCGAGAAAGTCATGAAGAAGAAGTTTCTAGATGTTGTGAGCGGAGTAATCAGAAAAACGAATGGTAAGATGTTACATTTTGCATACTTCGAGAAACTACTGGAACTAACCCATCACTCATCGGAATATTCTGAATCTCTGAACCGAGAAAGTGCAAGGCTATGTGGTGGGGAAGTACTTCCCGAGCTTTTGTTTTATTACCAGTTTTTACCATTACAACAGGAGAAACTATCCAGCTTTGCAGAAAAGATCTCCACAAGTGAACTCACAAAGATAGTTATCGTCGTCTTTCTGGTTGTTGTAGCCATGCTGTCGTATGTCAATGTTTGCTGAACCGGCCGGGATCTTCATTACCTGAACTTCTGGATACTGTAGTGCTAACTTTTTTGTGGTCTTGCTGTAAATTTCCTTTTTATTGTACGATTGAAAACCGTGAATCCCATGTGAGGGAGGGGGGGGGGGGGGGGGGGGGGGCGAAGGACCGTAGAAAACAGTCAATGATCAAAAATAGGAAGGTGCACTACTGGTGTAATTGACCTAGGTGCAAACTCTTTCCCAAGCATGAAATACTAGACTGGTATTTTATCAAATCTCCAATAATCATGATCAAAATAGCATAGAGAAATTGGTGCTGGTATGTGACGACAATGAAACCCCCAGCATCTAACTGTCCCTAATCCATATCCTATTTTGATTTTAGATTTCATTACGATTTTTAAAAAGCCGATTCCAAGTGGTTGACCTATCAGGGAGCGTTTATAGTCGCAGCACATATGAGCGATTAGAAAGTTTTCAAATGCCTGAAATCGCTAGCATTTTAGGCCTCCAAAACCAACATTGCTCTAGGCACCACCTAACAAGAGAACTGGACTGTATAACATGGCGTTCACCGAATACCTTCTCAGAAAGTCCTAATCAACATACTGGTCGATCAACGTATACCGTTGTATACCGTTGAACTCCACTTCAGAAGCAGTCATTACATTCAAATGCAAAAAACTGTGCTGGATGCCTTGAATGAGCCCTTATCACCAAGGCGCCTGCAGCCCTTAGCTAGTTGACTCGTGGGGTGGCAACGCAACACTTGACTAGTTGTTTTGCCGACTAATTGATTACATTTCTTTACATCCATTAGCAAAAGCAACAGTTCAAAAAAGTACCGCATTGTATCCAAACGATCCTCTTTCATTGTAGGTGCCTTTCACAGTTCTGCATGTCGTACCGTCACCGCCACATATACCGCACTTGTCGCGGGTCATCGTCGAGTGCAGGCGATGATCACAACCAGCCTGTGAATGAGAATTATTGATGGAAAATCTCTCAAAATCCCTCCTGATTTCGGCAGATGTTCAGACTGCAGAGAGCCACTGCAATAGCAAAGAAACCTTGCTGAGGGCCCTGGCCGAGATGCGCAGGCCGAGTTGTTGGAAGGAACAAGTAAAGGCGAAGCGAGTAATTTGACTAGCAATCTGGTCCGTAGCCCTTCACCTTTTGCAGTTTCATAGTAAAGGGCCTAAACACCATCAGCCAAAGTCACCGGTGACCTCGTTCCGACAAGGTGGTGCATTTTGACCCACACCCAAATTAGAAAATCGTTTAGGTCCGAAAGGTAGGTCTAATCAGTAGGTTGAGCTGCTTCTTGCAGTTAATATATACAATTTCTGCGCATTGTGTTCATCTAGAATGGAGTACTTATCTGTTATCTCTATTTAACCTTCGGGATTCTCTCAGAAACCCAAAACATTTTCGAATCATAGAAAGCGGTTAACTTACATACCTTCATGCAAGTACCGTCAACGCAGATATCATCGCCATTTCTGTCACAAGGAGTGCCGTCAGCAACCTGAATAGTTCTGCTGTGAGTTCGTCCTGATGAATTTCTANACAGCGGTGTATTTTGGTACCCATGTGGTTCTTGTCGGGATGCCATGAATGCCGACGTCCTGCAATTTTCAGAAATGTACCCGATACCTAATTGTAAACAGGCAAACCTGTTTACCTTGTTGTTGAATTCGGCACATTGAACTTCGCGGAATCCTGGTGTATCCCATGGGCAATCAGCCACATTACATGATCGGTAACGTTCCCGTTGACCAACACAGTACTTTCCTCCGTTTGCAGGCCTTCAATCAATTCTATACGGTGAGCAAAAACATCCGAGTTTTTCCCCTCCAGTCAATCACTCAAATCAAAAAGTTGAAGCAAAAACCGAAGAGTTGAAAGGAGGCAAAAAAACTGATTTTTTTCTATCCAAAGAAAATTTCGAAGAACGAGAGTCCGCAATGAGCAACGAAAAAGCGTACTTGGGGCTATCGCAATCGCGAAGCGCTCTCTGGACTCCACCGCCACAAGTTCGGCTGCATGTCTCCCACGATCTCCATTCGCCCCATCCACCATCGACTTTGGCCCGATGTTCGGCTCCAATAGACACGCATTCTCCACGGTGGCATTGCTGAAAGAGGCTACGGAAATCAAAAACCTATGACGGCGGGAGTCGGGTTTTACGTCGATGCTACTAGACCTTAGGCTCCACCTTTACGATGATAAAGTAGCATGAGCAATGGGCCAAAACGAGGGGCTTGGGAAAGAATTGGTTCGCCGAACTACGCTTTTTCGTCGAGATCAATTGAGCGTTGGATTTAAATTCAAAACCATTTGTATGCATACTTGGATTTGGGTTACAAAGAATGTTTTTCTAAGGTGAAGTCCTGAAAGTTGGTAAAAAGTGGTTGTCCTAACTCAAAACAGGTTCTTCGAGGAACGAGTCCCTTATTCTGATTTGTCCCGTAGGTCATTTCTCATTCCCCACTCCCATAGAACCCCATTTTCGTGGAAATATTTTTGAAAATGTCCACAAAATAGAGGCTAGACCACCACCTAAAGGGAACAGTCAGGCCTCTTTTCAGTCGAGCAAAAACACTTCACTGATTGCCGCCGTCAGTTGACCTCATCTTTCATTTCGAGGTCAAGCTTTTAGAAAAAACGAACCATACGACCCGTCTTGTCGCAAGGAGTACCGTCTGCCCATGGCATGTGTTGTGTTCGACAACCCATCTGACTGCCGTAGTATGTTGCACACCATAGACGTCGACAAGTTGGCTAGAAAGTTAAGACATCAGAGTTAATGCTTAGGCAATAGAAACCGACATTATAAGTAATTGGTACACATTTTGGGTAGATTGGACTTTTCATGAAAGTTCATGCGACCAGGAGAAATACAGAGGTACATGACCGTGGGCAAAACTCCGTGAATTTCTTTCCAACTCAACCAAACCGTCCATCTTGATTTCTAACCCACTGAACAGAACAAATAGGTTTTAATACTGTGATCAAAATTTTTTGGGAAACATCCACTTGGGTATTCTTCTATGAGGAGAAAAAAATTAAAGCTGTGGTGGGACTCGGGAATGAGAAGGAATGAAATGCCTATCCTAGGGGTGATCGTTGAGTTGAAGAAAAGAGGGAATTTCGTATGACACATGGAAGTAAACTGTATGGAATCCAGAGGAAGGAGTAATCTACGACGGAAACGGTACATCCAATACAAGTGTGGAATGCTCAGGATATGGTGATCGTGGAGTTGGAAAAGGATTGGATTCCCCCACGGGCCCATGTAGTGAAAGGAGCAGGAATTGTCTCAATCTGGCGTAGAACTTGATCAACTGTTCCTTTGAATAGGAGAACGGGCTTCTTTTGGACATGCATGCCTCTTTAGAGACGGGGTTAGTTTTACAAACGAAGTTCTGAGACGACGTAATAGATATTCCTCATTAACTAAGGGTTTCCGTAAACTATAGTGTTCGCTTTGCTGTCGCCCTAGCTGCTGGTGTCAGCCACGCTTCGAATTCTAACACTGCAGGACAACCCTGACCGACAGTTTTTTGTAGCCAGTTTGGCGTCAGGCTTCTTGTCGGAAAAGCTGCCAAACCTACTCAATTTTTGAAATCAATTTTTTCATTGTATTCTGAATTGCAATCGGCCAAAGCAGACTTCATTTAGGAAAAATTTGTGGAGATCACCTACCATATAAGGACAGAGTTCTGACTGTGGTCCAAAGACGAATTTGCATTGTTGACTGACGTCGTACTTTCGTCCAGGAGCATCATCTTCGAAAAGCTGTTCATAGTACTTTCTCTGAATCGGCTGGTCGAAGAGGCATTGAATTTGACCACGGTGGTTGCTGAAATACGCGAATTTCCCTCAATTTCAGGTTTGCCTCTGAAGAATACGGGTAGTGTTGGAAAAATCCACTTGCGCTAAAAAACAGACACTTGGCATTCAACTCCTTCACACTTCATTTTTTCTCAGTAGAAATTTCCACTTTTTCCAGAGAGGTGTAATAACGAAGAAAGCGGCTTGCTCATTTTTTCCCACACTCAAGAAAAATAGTAAAAACGAACTAGCAATCACTGGGATATTTCAAAGGATTGATGGCTGAACAAAAAGAAAACTCTGAGCTTTTTATACCTTACACAGGAATGATAGAACTAAAAATTCTTATTCAAAGGTTCAATGAGCTCAAAGTATTTAGAAAAAATGACGAATGAGGGTTTTCAGTAGTACGTTTTCGAAAAAGAAGCCAAAAAATAAATGAGACCAGAAACGCGAAACAAGACCCCACACTTTTTATTCGTGGTTCTCGATTTGAGACCATTCTTGAACTTGATGAATGCTTCTATGACTCCATACTGTCATTCTGAAAGCAGTGTTACCATCTGTTCTACGGTCTTTTGACTTTTTGGCAAACAAGTAAACAA